TACAGGCGCGCGCCACCATGCCCAGCTAATTTTTGTATTTTTAGTAGAAACGGGGTTTCACCATGTTGACCAAGATGGTCTCGATCTCTTGACCTCGTGATCCACCCTCCTCGGCCTCCCAAAGTGCTGGGATTATAGGCGTGAGCCACCGCGCCCAGCCGAACTTAAGCCTTTTATAAGTAAATAACTATTTTTATGAGGGGAAAAAAAACCCTCCAAAACATATTCATTTTACCTATCATATGAAGAGAAATAATCTTAACATTTTGGCTTTTGTCATAAAATCACCTATTATGCTATATTTTAATAATAGTTAATTTACAATATTATTAAGCTGGGCAGGTATATATGTTCCCTTAAACTATATAGACCTAGTCTATTGTTCTCTAGTTATTCCTGCATTTTGTAGTTCTTCTCTCCATTAGGCTATTGGGTCCCTTTTGCCAGTTTGTAATTTGTGATGTGCAGGAAAACTCAATCACCTAACCTGCAGATTTCATGTCAATAAATAAATAAATAAATAAATAAATAAATAAAGCAAGTTACTGATTTAGGTTATAAAGATCTGACCAAGTACCTCTCTTAGGAGCATGAGTAACATCTATTTCAGCCAAGCATTATAACCTATTTTCAATTATACTCTGAACAATAAGACACTGACATTTGAGCTTCAGTCACCATGTTGACAACGAGATACTTATTTTTACTTAGTTTACTATAAAAGAATGAAGACTAAATTATTAGTAAATGTTACTAGATGATGAAAACTCTCCAAGTAATAAGATAAACCTAAGCAATCAAATAATTATAGGAAAATTAGTGTTGTAAAACACTAAGAAATAAAGTTCATACTTTAAGTTTCTCTTGATATGAAAACCAGCTCAATACACAAATATTAAAATGAGCAAAATACATTTATTAAGCAAAACAAAAATGATGATTAAGTTCCGCAGATTCATAGTGAAAAAACAAAACATGGGGAAAATAAACACAAAAGGACATTCAGCTTCATGGTATTTTAAAAATATCTCTGAGAAATATGTAGACTTTGAATGAAGAGTAATTAGTACATAGAATTTCCTCTAGTGCACATTTTCTAGGATTGCTTCCTTTGGCACTTTTAAATGAAGCACAAAAGGGAGGAGCTCTGACATAAGTATGTCTAACAGTTTCATTCATGCCTAAATCTACATTAAATAGCTTCATTTGTTACTAAATAACCAGATACTTTCTCACAACCAAAAGACTGCTTTATAAAAATTCAGGGTTCACTGGAGAGTTCTTTCCTCCCACAACGCTAAAGGAGGAAAGCTTGTTTAACAAGAAACTATAAATATATAAACACTATCTTCTTAAACATCTTAATCTTTAATATAAAAACAAAAATTTAGAGCCGGGCACGGTGGCTCAAGCCTGTAATCCCAGCACTTTGGGAGGCCGAGGCGGGTGGATCACGAGGTCAAGAGATCGAGACCATCCTGGTCAGCATGGTGAAACCCCGTCTCTACTAAAAATACAAAAAAATTAGCTGGGCATGGTGGTGTGTGCCTGTAATCCCAGCTACTCAGGAGGCTGAGGCAGGAGAATTGCCTGAACCCAGGAGGCGGAGGTTGCGGTGAGCCGAGATCGCGCCATTGCACTCCAGCCTGGGTAACGAGAGCGAAACTCCGTCTCAAAAAAAAAAATAATAAAAAAATAAAAAATAAAAAAAAATAAAAAATAAAAACAAAAATTTAAAAAGCAAATAATTTTAAATGTTCTCCTTTTACAAAAACTGAAAATATGTCAGGAAAAAATTTTTACTACTGAACAAAGATAGCCTATTCTCAGCAAACAACGGAATAGGAAACTACTTAAAATTTAAAAAGGAAATAAAATTCTTGGTAGTTCATTACCTTTGGGTACCTATCAAGCTTCTTTAGTAGCTCTTTCTATACACTTTGCAGTTTAAAACTAATAAATATAGGTTGGGTGAGGAGCTCACGCCTATAATCCCAGCTCTCTGGGAGGCCTAGTTGGGCGGATCACGCGGTCAGATGTTCAAGGCCAGCCTGGCCAAATATAAGGAAATCCCATCTCTACTAAAAATACAAAAAAATTAGCTGGTTGGGGTGGTGCGGGCCTGTAATCCCAGCTACTCAGAAGGCTGAGACAGGAGAATCGCTTGAACCCAGGAGGTGGAGGTTGCAGTGAGCCAAGATGGCACCACTACACTCCAGCCTGGGTGACAGAGCAAGACTCTGTCTCAAAAATAAAATAAAAAACTAATAAACATATAATGGAAGTGTTTACATGAAACCACATCATGCCAAGGATACAACCAAAAAGCTATAAATATGTAAAGGCAGAATCAAATGAGGAAAAGTCAGTATCAAATAAGCATAAGATAATATATTTTTATGACAGGCTTTTATGTGCAAAGACACAGGTACTTCTTCAGTGGGTCAAGCTCCTTTTCTGTGGCTTTTTACTAATTACATGTTATGAGTAAAACTTGTGCCCATTTTAAAATGCAGCCTATTCTTCAAAGGCACATGGAAATGAGTTGATAAACAGGGGATAATTTGGCCGGCGTAGTAGCTCACGCCTGTAATCCTAGTACTTTGGGAGGCCAAGGCGAGTGGATCACTTGAGGTCAGGAGTTCAACACCAGCCCACGCCTGTAATCCCAGTACTTTGGCAGGCCAAGGCAAGTGGATCACTTGAGGTCAGGAGTTCAACACCAGCCCACGCCTGTAATCCCAGTACTTTGGGAGGCCAAGGCAAGTGGATCACTTGAGGTCAGGAGTTCAACACCAGCCTAGCCAACATGGTGAAATCCCATCTCCACTAAAAATATAAAAATTAGCTGGGCATGGTGGTGCATGCCTGTAATCCCAGCTACTCAGGAGGCTGAGTCAGGAGAATTGCCTGAACCTGGAAGGTGGAAGTTGCAGTGAGCTGAGATCTCGCCATTGCATGGTGCACTCCAGCCTGGGCGACAGAGTGAAACTCCTTCTCAAAAAAAAAAAAAAAAAAGATGGGGGAAGGGGGATAATTCCATTGAATAGAGGCACATTTTCTTCAAAATTATTGTTGCTAATTTTAGTGTTTAGTGCTTGCATTTTTTTTTTCCTAACCAGGGGTCCTAATTCCCCTTGCCCTTCCAAAATATTCACAAGGTCACTTCACTAAAAACATAGCTAACCTGCATGTACAAAATCTAAACGATTTAATATAACTTTCTATGTAAATTATTAAATGATGCTACAAAATGTAAGCAAAATATGTGAATGGGTAAGTAAAAATGAGGCACTATAAAACTAGAGTCTTGAAAATTATATTCTTATAATATACCTAATTATCCACCTTCTACTGTCTTCCCCCCAACCCTTATCTAACTAGTCACAATACTTGGTACATCTTTGCTTGAATAAAAATAACTTTAAAGTTCTGAAACCTTTTGTAATAGCTTGAGCTGGTTCCTGGAATAAAGCTGGGCAGTATGGAAAAGGATTAAATGATTATTCAGATGATACATGTAGATAATTAAGGTATTACAAAGTATGTTTTTTGATTACTCATGCCAATATCTCCTTTTCACTGTATACTAAACTGAATGATTAAGATTCATTTGCTCAGGAGCATGAAAATTTATATACCTAAATTTTGTGATAAAAAAGCTATCTAGGCCGGGCGTGGTGGCTCAAGCCTGTAATCCCAGCACTTTGGGAGGCCGAGGCGGGTGGATCACTAGGTCAAGAGATCGAGACCATCCTGGTCAACATGGTGAAACCCCGTCTCTACTAAAAATACAAAAAATTAGCTGGGCATGGTGGCACGTGCCTGTAATCCTAGCTACTCAGGAGGTTGAGGCAGGAGAATTGCCTGAGCCCAGGAGGCGGAGGTTGCGGTGAGCCGAGATGGCGCCATTGCACTCCAGCCTGGGTAACAAGAGTGAAACTCCGTCTCAAAAAAAAAAAAAAAAAAAAAAAAAAAAAAAAAAAAAAAAAAAAAAAAAAAAAAAAAAAAAAACCTATCTAACTTCGACAAAAGCATAAGAAAATATGAAGAGTTCTTGCACATTTAGAAAATTAGTAGGGTGTTTATCCAGCCTGCCAAAAACTAAATTTAATTTATTTCAATGTATTACTAATGGTATTCTACCATATAGCTTGATAAGTGCTTAAGCTATGTTATTGTTATATTGTTAGGAATGCAGTATCTTATAGTTCCAGAGCATATAATGCTCTGTAAATATCCATTTGCTAGAAGTTGAGAATACAGACTGAGGAAGTAAGTTTTAGAAACACTATATCTGAAATCTGATCTACACTTACCTGAAGTTCCTTAGGGAAGGGGAAGAGAAGTGAGGTAGAATATATTCATTATACAGCACGGATGAACTGAATTTAAATATATTTCGTGCATTAAGTTGTGTAACTCCAAATACATTTTTAAAATCTAACAATCTATCTCAAGTTCACTATTAGGTAAACAATTTCAATACTAGACCAACATCATTTCCTCATATGTATGTTAGAGATCTAAACATATCCTATTTTCATTTAGCTTTTTTCTAAACTTTACAAGTTTTAAGCAAAAGCCACAAAGAAATATCTTAGTAATGTTATGTTTGCCAAGTATGTCTGAATAATGCCAACGTAAGAGGTGCTTGAGCAAGATCTACATTCTCCAGAATTAAAACAAAACAAAAATCATCAAAATAAAACAATAAAAAAGAAAAGCACATGAATTTGGGATTGAGGTTGGAATAGGAGACAGTTTCAGACCTGGTTTAATCCTGAGAAAGATGGGTCCTGAGAAGTACTAACAGTCATGCTTCTTTTCCTCTTCCCCACTGGAGATTCTAAACACTAAACAGACAATAGAGGGTGGCAGTGCATCAAACAGTATTGCTTACATTGCAACAATGGCCGGCGCAGACAGGCAACACCGAGGCATTAGAGAAAGAACAGGGTAGCCAAATGCCATCCTTCTTCCACCAAGCACTGTAGCTTCTCAGTTTTCCAAATAAGAATCACATACTCAAGAACATTTGAATTCTGGAAATTACTCAGGTTTTTAATGCCACTATTTTGTGTCACTGCCTGAAACAGGGATAGCAATGGTGACATTTGGCTCTTTAATTTTTTTAATCAAAAATGGGGAATTTAGATCTGTAATCTTTGGTACCACAATCTGCCCTTCCCCCCCAAAAAAAGATTGTACGGGGGAAAAAAATCTTCAGTAAGGAAGAGGTAGAAGGCATTTAGTCACCTTAAAATTTATTTTCGTAAGCATGCAGGGCTGATTACAGGAAGAGATGAGCAAATTCACTAAGATTGGAGTGGCCACTCCTAAATATCAAATTCAGAACAATTTTCCAAATAAGAAATTCAACTTTAAAAATTGTCCTCAAAAGCCCCCCAAAATCTTTTTTTCCCCGTGAATAGAAAACTACTGGAACAAGCTGACCAAAGAATCCAGTCTGACACAACGGGCATTTTTCAAACTACAAATACAGAAAGCACTAAAAATCAACTACATAAACAAAAACTAATCTAAAAATGTTCAAGAGCAACATTTAGTATTTGAATCTTAGTTGAGTAAAACACTTTGGTTCTACCTGAGGGCCTTTCTAAAACTGTGTTAAACAGCAAACATCTCCACAAAATTCTTTTAATATCTGCAAGGAGAAAAGGAGACCTAAACCTCCTAAAAAGGTTTTTACCACTAGGAAACTTAGGCTTCCTTAAGACAACTATGTGATTAACAAACTATTCTTAAGGGGGTTATAGCGGGGAAGGCAAAGTGATATCTAGGTCATCATTTAAATTTAAGGCAAAAACCATGTACTGCAATATCAACGATGCAGAACAGAAATCACAAGGTGATAATGGGTTTTTAGGGGTAAGAAAAAGGGAAGGAGAGAGCTGGGAAATGGCCAAGAAGATTGGAGTCAAAACGGACAAAACAAGATCAGTAATTTTTTTTTCAATTAAATTACCAGGCTTTACAGTAACAGTTAAAAACCTGGAAACTTGAGAGAAAAGCTATAAAATATTTTTTAATGCAATTTGGGAATGACAAGTTATGTGTATATTTAAACACCTTTCATTATTTAAAGCTCAACAAATAAAAAATTAATTTCCTAAAACCTGGTCAGACCAACATCAGTATCTCACATTAACAAATAACACCAATTCTAATGGTAATGGCTCCCAGTTGGCATTCATACAGGCAAACAAAGGTAAACATTGATAGCTAGACCTAAAAACACCAAACATTCCCTAATAGTTTAGTAAAACAAATGGGCACCTTCCTTTCAAAAACAAAACAAAAAAACCACAAAAAACAAAAAAGCCCCCAAGTTGTCCTGAAGTTGACAATTTCTATCAGATAGATCATCAGATCACAACATGCTTAGTGCATTGCCAATGCTGCCTGTCTGCCCGAGCTCAACATAGAATTGATAAGAAAGCAATTCACTCAATAAGACTAATCATTACAGAAAAAAAAGGTCAACACAATTAGTTTCTAACTGCAATCATGCGTCACTAGCTAAAGCCCAATCACCCCATAAGTTGAACCACTCTCAGAGACCCCAAATGAACACTAGTTTTGTTGTATGAGTGTTCATTTCACTTGTCTATATTTTCCTTTAAAGGGAGAAGAAGGAGTGAAGAACTCACCCAACTTGGCACCCAAGTAAAAAACTGTCAACGACTTTTGAAGCAGGCCCAAAAGTTATCCTTTTAAATACACAAATTCAAGGACTGAAGAATTCTCATTATCAACCATGCTCAGTCAGCAACTGCTAACACCATGGTAACAGATAAGTCAGTGTTCCCACACTGGCACAAGCACATATATTTTAAAAACCCACACTTCAGAGCCAAAGGTTAAAATCTGGTTTTTAGCATTCAGGAAGAAAAGAATATGGGTTTTTTTTGCTATTTTTGTGAATGAAAAATAGATGCAACTGTTCAATAGTTAAATAACTTAGACAACTACAGTTCGTTATACAGCCCTTAGAATTTTACATTTCCATATAGGTAACTAACCTCGGTTGGGTAAGTTGAAGAGAATTTATTTCAAGTTACTAAGTTAATGGAGTTAGCTGATTATATTTATAGCACAATCTTTTAAAGCAATTGTCAACAGCAAATTCAACTTACTATGGCTTTTTAAAGATTGAAAAATGTACCAAAGCAATTCTTGTCAAAACTTTACTCTTTGTTCTTTCATGCAAAGAGCATTTGACTAACCTTATTACAGTGACGCCCAATACCCATTAGGAAGTTATCTGGTTTAATGTCTCTGTGTATAAAATTCTTTGTATGCACATATTCAATTCTACTGATCATCTGAAAAAAAGGAAGGGAGAGATAATTGAGTTAAGCAGTACATGAAAATCAACATATTTCTTAAGTATTACGTATCTCAATTATTTAGAGTTCACAAAGACAGTGTTAGAAAAAATGAAACGGAAAGGACAACTAAGGTCTCCACTTATTTCTACATTAATGGATATCTAAGCATATACCTGCTGTGTCCTTTGGCTTTACCTTCTAGTATTAATGATTAAAATCATGACAGGGTCTAACCCCACAGGAAGACTTGGTGTTTGTGATTTTCAAATAATAAACGGAATACCTTTGGAATTGTATCAGTTGCTACAACAAAGGAAATTAAGAAAGCTTTCCACACTCAATCCTAGGCCTTCTAAAGTAACCTGTTAAAATGGCCTGGTATTTCCATGTTACAAGATATACATACACACAGAGACACACAAATACTCGGGAGTGAGGGATGTTGACAGATTGGCAGGTAAAGCTATAAGCAGTTGTTACAATTCTTATATAATCCCATTCGAAAGTTAAATATCAAACAAGCCATTCTAAAAAGCTTTCCTTAATCAATTTCTTGGAAATTATGCAAAGTCAAATGCCATAGCTCAAATATTTCTTTTTAATGGCTACAGATAGTCTATGGTAGAGATGTTAAGTCTTCCCCAACTCACATTATTCTCACAGTTTTCCATTTTTTCCTATTATAAATAATGCTATTAATAGACATATATCTTTACCTACTAGTGCTTTTATTTCTATGGGCTTCAAATCCCCTACAATTATAGGGAGTTGCTGGGTTGAAAGGTGTATTTTTCATTTTGGTAGATAATATCACACTGCCTTTCACAATAGACTGTAACAATTTGGATTTACTCTTTTTTTGAGAAAGGGTCTTGCTCTATCACCTAGTGCAGTCAAGGGACCATGACTCCGGGCTGCCTCAACCTTCCAGACTCCAGAGATCCTCCCATTTCACCCTCTGGAGTAACTGAGACTATAGATGCAATGCCATCACTCTCAACCCAATTTTTTGCGTCAGCTAATTTTTAACTTTGGGTAGAGACAAGATGTTGTTATGTTGCCCAGCTTCTCTTGAACTCCTGTGATCTTCCTGCCTCAAACTTCCAAAGTGGTAGGATTATAGGCGTGAGTCACCATGCCTGGTCTGGATTTAGGAGTAGATCGTGTTTTTGTTTTTGTTTTGAGACAGTCTTACTCTGCTGTCCAGGCTATCTCGGCTCACTGCAACCTCTGTCTCCTGGGTTCAAGCGATTCTCCTGTCTCAGCCTCCTGAGTACTTGGGACTACAGGTGTTCGCCACCACGCCCAGGTAATTTTTTTGTATTTTTAGTAGAGATGGGGTTTTACCATGTTGGTCAAGCTGGTCTCAAACTCCTGGGCTAAAGTGATCCACCCACCTTGGCCTCCGAAAGTGCTGGGATTTCAGGTGTGAGCCACTGCGCCCAGTCCTTCTATGAGGATTTACTCTTCCATGTACTGTCAAGCTACACTCGGCCTATTTTTCTTTCGGCTTGTTGTCTTCTTGTTAACTTTTAGGAGTGCTCATCAGACAACAAACAACCTTTTATCCTTATGTAAATAGATATAAATACTTTTTATTTTGACTGTTTATGGCATATCTTGTACACAATAGAAGTTTTTGTTTTTGTTTTCAGACAGGGTCTCACTTTGTCACCGAGGCTGGAGCGCAGTGGCGAAATCACAGCTCATGGCAGCCTCAACCTCTGGGGCTCAAGTGATCCTCTCAGCTCAGCCCCCTAAGAAGCTGGGGCTAGAGACATGCCTGGCTAATTTTTCTATATTTTGTGGAGAGGAAGGTACTGTTATGTTGCCTAGGCTGGTCTTGAACTCCCAGGCTCAAGTGATCCTTCCGATTCGGCCTCCCAAAGTGCTGGGATTATGGCGTGAGCTGCCACACCCAGCCTCTATCTTTTCTGTAAGACACTTACTTAGAAGTTGTATTTTTAAATATATTCCATATCCAAAGACTGCCAATATTATCTTTCTATCCATATGTTCTTGCTCTTCTCAGTAGTATGTGTTAGGATTCTATTTTTTATTTGTCCCCATTTCCCCCAGAGCTTTTATTATCATGAATCACAGATTCTAAATTGTACTCTTCTACCTTGACAAATGTCTTCTGAAGCCAAACCAGTAATCTCTGCCACCTGTTACCTATCATCTACAGAGCAAGACTTAGGTGTTAACCACCTTAACTGAAAGCTTTCTGGTATCTCCCTCTCTCAGAATTACATTTTTTCACATTTGTTACCCGTGTACCCAACAAAGACTGCTACAACTCTACAACAAAGATGGAACATCCTATTTTACCATATTTCTCTACTAGACTTTAAGTTCTTTCTAGAGGGAAGAGACTAATTCTTATTTTTTGCCACCCCAACTCCCAACGCTAAGTCCAATGGTAGGCTCTCAATACATGTTCAATGTATAGATACTTACATGTTACTGAACATACAAAATATAAACCATAATTCTTTTATTAGGATTCACTCATATATATTAGTTGAAACACATTAAAGGCTTTTTTCTTTTTGAAGACAGAGTCTGGCTCTATCCCCCAGGTTGGAGTGCAGTGGTGCAATCCCAGCTCACTGCAACCTCTACCTCCTGGGTTCAAGCGATTCTCATGCCTCAGCCTCCTGAGTAGCTGGGATTACCAGCGGTGAGTCATCACACCCAGCTAATTTTTGTATTTTTAGTAGAGATGGGGTTTTACCATATTGGCCAGGCTGGTCTCAAACTACTGACCTCAGGTGATCCACCCGCCTTGGCCTCTCAAAGTGCTGAGTGAGACTACAGGCATGAGCCACCAAACCTGGTCCATATTAAAGGCTGTTAACTTAAAGGAGATGGGGTCTTGCTCCATTGCTCAGGCTGGTGTGCAGTGGCATTATTATAGCTCACTGTAGCCTGAACTACTGGACTCAAGAGATCCTCCTGTCTCAGCCTCCCAAAGTGCCAGGATTACAGGTGTGAGCCAGTGTGCCAGGACACTTTTAACCTTTTAATGCTTGAGTTTTTTGTGTCACAAATTGATGACAATTTGCTCACATTTGCTTGAGCCACTTAGTCCTTTTTAGGTTAAGAAGCTTGGGAACTATCAGGTGCTGATTACAGAAAATGAGCACTACTTTCTAATCCTTTGAATTACAAAGTTTTTTCATTGATCTATAATAGTTGTTTATATATTTATGGGGTATATGTGATATTTTCATACATATATACAATGTGTAATGATCAAATAAGGGTGACTGGGATATCCATTACTTCAAAGATTTATGTTGTGTTGGGGAACATTGCAATTCTACCCTTCTAGCTATATTGAAATAAACGATTAGCTATTGTTAAATTTTCCTACCATACTATGGAATACTAGAACTTACTCTTCCTTACTGTATTTTTGTGCCCAATAATGTACTTCTCTTCATCCCTCCGAATTTACAAACTTACTAAAATTCCACCTCAAATACCAATTCTATTTATCTTATTTTATGATATAGAATCTATATTTTTAAATGTCATTCTCTTCACAGTATTTTTATAAGCACACTGAATTTAACCTGAAGCATTTCCAACTTTTTCCTGCCCTTAAAGGTAATATTGATCAAAAATTATAAATTTCTCGATATTTACCAATTATTATCTTAATGTATTATCTTTTGCCTTAAGGTTTGTTCCTTACTCTATCTTTCTCATTTCTTAAGATCAAATAGCCGGGCGTGGTGGCTTACGCCTGTAATCCTAGCACTTTGGGAGGTCAGGAGTTCAAGCCGAGCCTGGCCATCATGGAAAAATCTCATCTTTGCGGGGGGGGGGGGAGATCAGATATCCAAACTTCAGCTGTAAAAACCATTTAATCTAACCTACAGCCAATGCATCAATCTAATTCATGACATCTCCAAAATTTCCTGGGTCTTAAGAAATGGCTGAGAATCCACTACTCCAGGTAGCATCTACTTGGTCAAAAAAAATTCTTCCTTAAATTACTTCAGAACCTTTTTATTCTCAAAAATATAGCTTTTCTAAGAGTCCCACACATAATATATAATATTCAATTTGCTTAATTGAACCAAAATATCAATATACATTTATCTACAAATATATGCATACATACACTCTGAACTCTTTCTCCAAACAAAATCTTACAAGAATAACATGCTATATTTGACACTAAAACTTCATCTCAAGGAGCAGATTGAAAAAAAAACTACTAGTCTACAGATGAGTAAGAAACCAAAATAATTGCAGTTTTCGTTTTATACCCATAGGAAAATATCTACAAGTCATATTATTACCTTTGCCTATGCTAAGGCTAAATAGTGATGCATAGGATTTTAATACTCTGATTTATGAATGACGAAATTCCAGTCAACAGTACTATTCTCGGTTTACATTCTAATCAAAATTTCACATACCTGGTCAGCTAACATAAGTACAGTTTTCATTGTGAACCTTCTTGAACAGAAATTGAAGAGGTCTTCGAGGCTAGGTCCCAGAAGATCCATGACTAGTACATTGTAGTCTTTTTCCTGACCATACCACCTAACGAAACAAAAGAAGAAAGAGTATTATAAAAAAGCTATCACTTAATATCACCAAGTTTCAAAAAAATCATCAACCCTAAGAATAAGATAGTTTTCCTTCTCTGACCAGATGTTATTTAAAGCAAATGTTAAATCAGTATTAAAACCAAAGTATGAATTTTTCTAGAAAATGTAAAGATAACTATATAGATGTGCTACTCTGCCTCTTCTTTAACAAAATAGTCTATTCTAACTAGTGGTCCTGGGCACCCATTAACTCTTTATGACATCTACCAAAACTGCAGAAATGATGGCACAGTACCTAAGAAAGGGGGGGGAAGCCCCATATCAGTTTGCTTTAATTTCAGACCTATTCCGCTAGGTCTTGTAGTCAGGTACAATAAATATGCTCCCTAGAATCTTATGTTGAGAGTAACAGATCCTAAGAGGATTATAAGCTCAAAAAGTTCAGTTCCTTCCTACGGCTTTTCTTCAATTGTCCTTGAGAATTACTTCCCAAACCTGACAAATGGATAACTGCCAAGCACACAAAATCAAATCCATTTCTACATTCTCTTTGCAAAAAAAGATGATAACCTAGTAAGGAAAGAGTGTCTGCATAACCTTTTAGAGGTCTTCCCCACCAGCTAAAAAACAAACGTGGCAACATGACAGCAGAAGAGCCAGTTTTTTGTTTTCTTGTTTGTTTGTTTTGAGATAGAGTCTTTCACTCTGTCCCCCAGGCTAGAGTGCAGTGATGCCATCTTCAGTCACTGCAACCTCTGCCTCCTGGGTTCAAGCAATTCTCATGCCTCAGCCTCCCAAGTAGCTAGGATTATAGGCCTCTGTCACCATACCCGGGCTAATTTTTGTATTTTTAGTAGAGATGGGATTTTGCCATGTTGGCCAGGCTGGTCTCGAACTCCTGACCACAGGTGATCCTCCTGCCTTGGCCTCCCAAAGTGCTGGGATTACAGGCGTGAGCTACTGCACCCAGCCAAAACAGCCAGTTTTGTCTGTATTGAATCTGAAACAGTGTACTAAAGCTGCTATTTTCCCTCTTCCACTTTTTATTCTCCCTATTGGAATTCAACACCTTTCACATTCACTGATATATTTACTTGAAAGAAGCTCATAGTGATGCTTTGGGTAACATAAATGACAGTATTAAAAGGTAACTGATAAAGCAAATAAGCTGCTTTCTCCTTTCTCTTTTTCTATTTTCTTCTGTTATTTTTTTCCTCCTCCTTCGTATGGGACAGGCAAATCTGGGCTAGAGAGCTGTCACAAAACTGCCATTATAAATGTTCAACACTAATAAAAGTTCTAGTAAGTGTTTTATATTAATCTAATTTACCGAGGCTTTTAAGAAAACAAGAACACCAAATCCAGAAAGAGCTAAGGAAATAAGAAGGCACGAAAACTCAAACAGGCAAAAGGGAAGGCATAAATCAACTCATTTATAAGACTACAATCCAGCTCTAGACAGGTTTCCACTGATGACTCAGATATAAAACTAAAAAACGAGCAAATGTTATAACCATCCATCTAAGCCCAAACACAAACCTGTAATGTAAAAGGCACAAATTCAGACTTTATATTTTCATGCAATTAACAAGATTTCAAAAAGCATTTTTTAAAGAAATCATCTGCAAAGTAAGCCTCTAACAAAATCACTTGTATGTAAGCCTCCAACTCCCTTAATAATTAGAAACTGGAGGCTGGGCGTGGTGGCTCAAGCCTGTAATCCCAGCACTTTGGGAGGCCGAGATGGGTGGATCACGAGGTCAAGAGATCGAGACCATCCTGGTCAACATGGTGAAACCCCGTCTCTACTAAAAATACAAAAAATTAGCTGGGCATGGTGGCGCGTGCCTGTAATCCCAG